TCCACGGACTTCCATCGCACGGCATCAAACAGACGGCTATTACATCCACCCAACACATGCACAGGTGTGCTGCGCCGCTCATTAACTCGCCCCGCTGTGCTTAGGAGACTTCAACCCCGATGCAGGGGGGGGACTTGGTTAGCGCAGCCTGGATTCAACCCAAAACAAACAAGGAGTCGGTGGGCTGTAACCACGCAGCCGACAGCTAAAAGTCATCACTGTGTGAGACGGATAGCAGCGCACTATGACGACTTGCAGGTCAGCGGGGGTTAGAAGGAGGGGGATGGGGGGGGGGGGGCGGGGGGGTCATAAAAAACATCTAGCAAAGGTCCCCTGGCATTGGTCTCAGTGTGGAATCAGCACATCAATCAGGTACAGCGACCGGGTGTGGGTGGGTAGGGGGGTTATGGATATGCATTATGCAGGATTAGGATCTGGCTTATTTGGGGAGGTTAATGTACGTTGCTTTTGAAGAACCTGCAGGTAGACCTCAAAGAGAAAACTAAAAGCGACAGAGTTGAGCACGAAACACTCAAAAACACACCCAGAGAGGTAAAGATTTGACTCTTTCTCTCATCCTTAGTGTGGCTGGATCTGCCCCTCCCCACCCGGCAGACACAGATTGCTGTTAGATACTCAGCAGCGGCATGGCGCTAATAACTGCCATTTATATGCAGTGATGTGTGGGACCCTCCTGCGTGAGAATTCATGCTAATGAGGGTTTTATAATTAGCGTCCCTCACACTCCTGCACCTCCCCATTGCTGCCCATTTGGGCTCCATCATTCAGCCCCCTTGGCTGAGCTCGACTCTCAGCCAGAAGTTCCCGAGGTCGTTCTGGCTCATTGGCTCCTGGGCTCTGATCGGCCGATAGCCGGGGGAAGAAGGAAATCACTCTCCCATATCACTGCAGGGGAGGGAAAGGGTTTAATGGTTAACCTAACAGATACCTAATGAACAGGAAAGAGTAACGAGACGGGGCTACTGTCGGAAATAAGGGAAACAGACGTTAAGAAGATTCATGCAAAGCAGGACGTGTGGAGGAACTTTAACACCTTTCATTATGTTGTAGAACAATGTTTCTAAAAGTTAATCCAGTTATTGATTAAAGGATTAAATTGGTTGTTAAGAGCATCCTTTTAAAAAGGAATAGTTGTATTCAGCATATAATGTTATAATTGGTGCACACAATGGCTGGGCGGGATTTAAAGGTTTTCATTTCAATTTAAAGTGGTAGGAGCTCTGCTCTGTGAGACGGCATTGATGTAATCCTTCGGCTGAATCCAAAGAAATAATTTTAAATCCTGCCAGTCATGTCTGTATATTAATTAAGAAAGAAAAACAAACACGCACACACATCCAAAGGCTCTCTATGTTCCGGCTGGAATCCAACAAATGCAGAAGGGGAGCGCCGATCACATGAGAACGCTGCCGCAGGACACATGTGATGTTTAGACAACAACCGCTTCAGACCACACGCCCAGCCGCTACTACAGCGGCACGACCAAGTGCTACTACCGCAGCACTACCGAGTGGTACTACCGCAGCACTACCGAGTGGTACTACCGCAGCACTACCGAGTGGTACTACCGCAGCACTACCGAGTGGTACTACAACTATCGAGTGGTACTACCGCAGCACTACCGAGTGGTACTACAACTACCGAGTGGTACTACCGCAGCACAACCGAGTGGTACTACAACTACCAAGTGGTACTACAGCAGTACTCCTGAGTGGACAAAATACCATGTATTGGTCAGAGTTTCACTTCCACAAAGCTTTTAACTGATCTAGAGCCAGAGGTTTACAGTGAACCACGGGAGGGTTCTGTGATCCTAATCCCATTCAAATCTGCCATTTCCGTTATTTGACAAGTCACATTTCCACTGCAGTTTTCTACCAAATTATTTTTCTTCTTTCTTTTTTTCCATGCCTTTCTGCAGCTTGCAAATCAGGGAGGCTGCTTTGGCAATTACATTTCCCAACTCGCTGTGGCTGTGCACCATTTGCATCAACACATTGCACCAAAGACAGCAATTAAACTAAAATGTCACTTTTTAGCAGCCATTGCTCTGTGGATCGGAGGTGTCATTCGGGAAGTAAACCACAGCCAGGTATCAACCAGGCAACGTCTGATCTAAAAAGACTTGAGGGCCATTACAATTTTTCTGATGATTTACAGCTTTGCTTTCTTCATACTTTTTCTAAAATCACAAATCCAAGAAATAGGCGGGTTAAATGTCTGAAGAAAACTGCCTCCTGCATGGAAGAACCATGATGCAGGTGATCCAAACAATGAACAGTGTTTCTATCCAGCCAAAGTGGCCCAGCTGGTTCTGCCTCTGGGATGCATTCAGCCCGACGTACAGCTCAATGAACACTGCTCAGCCAACACGTTAACCAAAAGGAACAGCAAGCGGGCTGCTCTCGCCGTTGCTTTGACAGCTCCCATGCGAGCCTGTCAGATGGGACACCAGTACAACAGGGATGGTGGGAACTTCTGGAAGGGCCGAAGAAGAAGAACGGAAGATAAAAGTAACTGCAACTCTCAGATTAAGGAGTTTTTGTCCAGGAGGAGTTCAGTTCCTCCCTTTTTTGTAGAGCAGGTGGATTTCACTTAAAAGCTTGCTGTTCAAATAGATCAGCTCAGCTATTGGCTGCTGTGCTGCGAAACAGAAAAAAAAGTGCAAAGTATAAGAATATGATCAAAGACCTTACCAAACATCTGGGAAGGAAGCAGCTGGAAGAAGATCGCTAAGCAAAAAGGTACGAGAGGCAGTGCTGTATCGTCAATAATGTGACATTCAAGGGTGTTGTTAGGCAAACCCTTGAAACGTAAACAAGTGTAGAGTACGGCTCAATACAGTACACCCCGTGACCTACGCTCAACCAATCGGAATGCCTGATTTCCTCTACCCATACTATAATAACTAATAATTATAGCATTACTTTTTCTAAACATACATTTTTGAATAAATACCTCTGAAAGAGATGATTTCTAGCACTGTTACATACATTCCTGTACACGTCATTTTAATCCGGGTGAAGTAAACAGGTTGTAAACATGCAATGTTTCTTCTGCTGTTGGACACAAAGGGTCCCAGGAGAAAAACAGCTGATGCATTCTTTGATTGCACGGGATGTTGTGTTTTCGGGCTCCAACCCTGGCAACATCTTAAAACACTGCACTCGTGTTAGGAAATGACAATGACATCATTCATTCCCCAATGCTGCAACTGTAAACAGCAGATCTGGAAGCAGCATTCCTATGAAAGTTGCTCAGTGGCCCCTATACAACAAATATAATTTTCAAGTCCATAACCCCAATTAAAGAAAAAACTAGATAACCCTTGCATTAATCTTGTTTGAAAGAAAAATGAAAACTACTCTGTTGGACAGATTTACAGCAAAATCTGAGCTGACAGCTCCTGGAAGCACAACGGCCCCATAACAGTGACCCGATTTATTACCCAGCATTCCAAAGTGTGAGCTATAGGTAATGGAATGGAAGAGGCCTATCTGGTGCTCTATTTTATACAAAAACACTTAGGCAGCAGCGGCAGCTCAAAAACATCTGTGTGACTTCCCACGACAGCATGAAGCAACCTTCCCCCGACTCGACCACTTCCCGAGTCACAACTGGAATCCTCTACCTGTAAAGAGCCCCCCAAAAATCCTGTCACGTCATTCACATAATTTCCAGAACGGCAGGGAGATGCTGTAATATTGCATGGCCGAGTTAGTCATATGAAAACATCTGGACTTCATGCAGAAATGTGATATTATGAGCTGCAGCAATGAACCTTCTTAGAAACACAATGTTTGCATATTGAACTGCTCCTCTGCGGTAGTTACATTCCTCAAGAATGCTTTTTGCAGGCATTTTATTAACTCGCAGAAGGCTTCAAGTCTCTGCAAGTTGATATCATACCATAATATTAATAATAATAATAACAACCGTAGAGGGCACTCAGAGTGGAGACCTCCTCCCAGGCCAGAAGGCCTAACTCGCAATGCTAACTAAAGGGGGGAAATGAGTCAACCCGTGTGGACACGTTACTAGGTCACAGCAGGTAAGGCGTCTTAATACAGATGCTCTCGTGTCACTCATCGCAGCGCTGCTGTGAAACGTGTTGGAATGAATCCAAGGAGTTGAAGCCAAGTTCCAATATGTGTTTCGCAACGCAACCGCACTTTGGCACAGAGGAGCCATCCCAGACTCACCGCGTTACTGCCACACACTAAACAAACAGATCGGCGGCGGTTCGATCAACACTGGAAGTGGTGATACAGGAATACCCAAGATTTTCCATTTTAATTTCACTCTTCATCATAAGGGCGATGGCAGCAATGCGGGCCTCTTCCTCCTCCTCCTCCTTCCCCCAACTGCCACCACGCTATGAACCTATCATCTCCGATCACTGTCAGAGACGATTTCAGCTGTCACAGTGCACTTTACAAACCTTCCCCCACCCCCGGCTTTACATCCGCTTCACCTGGCAACACAAAAAGGGCCCTCAATGACTGAGGAAAAAATATAAAAGTCACTTTTTACACCAACTGTGGTGATTGCCGGCGGTCCACCGCGGCGTTGGTACCACCGGTGGTGTCATGTCAAGGTCATTCAGAAAGTTATCAGAGTAATCTGCACCACATGTGCAGAGAGCAACTTGGTGCATATCAGCTGCATTTGTGGCAGTTATTAAAACAGTGGAGGCCGGTATTGTTTTAGGAATCCTTCAACCGCCGGATTAATGAAGAGCCCACAATAAAAATGTTATTCAGGACATATAAAAGCATCCTGAAATGTAATAAAAAACACTCCTGGCTTATGCCACTGCCACGACATGGAAATCATATAAAGATCGTATTCATACCACTTGGTATCAGAGACCTTTGCAGATACAGGAACATCCTTCACACTGGTCTGAAGTGCAATGAGAAAACATGCGTTTTTGGTGATAAAAGCGACACGGTGCCCGAAAAGACGTCACTACTCACCGCATCTTTCTCCGCTGCGCCGCTGTCCTGGTGCTCCAAGAGCTTCCTCTTGTTCTTATTCTCCGTCCTCTTCATGACTTAAACTGTGAAGTAATGTTAATTAACAGCAGCGGCGGCGCGGGTCACGCCTCTCGGTGTCACGTCGGTCGGTTAGCGGGCCAGCAACGTGTCCGCTTCGGCGGCGGCGGCGGCGCCTCGCTGCCAGAAGGACGTTGGTCGCGCGTTGACGCGGTTCGGTCGAGCTAAGAGTCCGCCCGGGACTTCCAGACGGGCAGCCATTCGCGGCGGGCAGCCGCTCCTGCGGCCGGCTGACTTATGAAGCGCCCGAGCGTCACTGTCACATCTGGAGGACCCGCTGAGACGGGCTGTCAATCAAGCTGCCGCCACCGGCAGCCGCGACAATATCCTCGAGGGCAAAACAAAATAATACAAGAAAACAATAAAAAGGAGGCTTTGCGGGTCCTTTGCGATGACAGTTAAATATTCGCTCGATTAAAAATATCCACGCTGGGCGTTCGGGTCTGACAACAGTTCATCCGACCCCAACTCGCCCCGCTGGTTACGTTAGCGTCTGGTGCTAAGCTATCTGGCTGCCTGCGGCGGTTTACCTGCACGCACGCGGCGTGACACCCACACCAGCTCCGCCCCCCCTCCCCCCTAACGGCCGGAGCTCTGCGCCTTTTATCCGTCTCGGTGGTTCGCCCTGACAGCGGACGTCTTCCCCGGGTGTGCTTCCATCTTCAGGTAAAAGGCTGCGGTCTGTGCGGTAATGCAGCCGCTGCGCGGCTCGGCTCGGCTCGGCTCGGCTTGGCTTGTTTCCTGACTCCGTCACGGTCACCGCGGCGTCAAATGTATCGAGCATGACGACACGACGTTCCATATGCGCTTACCAAAATAAAAGCATGTTCGGTCACCTTCATTTGAGTGCAGCTTTTAAATGCTCTCTGTACAGCTAAAACTGGTGAAAAATAAAGCGTTAAACTCCATGAACCGTGTAGAGCACAAGAACACACAAACATATATAAATAACTGGGGGGTTTTCCTCGTTTTTAAATTAAAATAAATTATTATATATAAACGATTTCCAAGCATGTAAAATGCATTGGCGTCAACAACGCATGCTATGAAGTTAAAGATACGTTAGGATAACTATTTCCCTTTGAAATGTTTAACTTATAACTACACTACCTAATGTGTATCAATCAGGCATTTAGTCAAAGTGGTAATAAGCTATTTTGTCGACGTCTTACATTTTATTTTGAAAGTATACTCACCGTTTTCAGCCTCAAATGCTGACATGGCTTGACTGAAGATTCTTGTAAAATTCATAAACTCAAACTCATAACTTGTGGGAAATTTGCTGGGCTTTCATATTGTATCCTGACATGTTTCTGTGTTTGGGTGTGTTTGTGTAGTGGTGTCTGTGTGGGTTTGTGTGAGAAGGAGAGAGAAAATATGTTATTGACATTAAATCAGGTTTGGTGTGACTCTGCTGCCACCTGCTGAGAGACAATGAAACATGCCTTAAATATGTGTACTTGTGTGCATATGTATGAGATAAATTTACATGTTCATCTTTTCTTTCAGTTTAAATTTTTTCAATAAAGGAGATAAATCAAGTTTGGCAGTTATCATTAAGGTAAAAAAGACGAGGACCCTAACAATAATATTGATGATGTATGTATATGAGAAATGTATACATCCGAAATATCCCAAGAAAGCAGATAAACCAGGCAATTCATTTTGTTTCCTTTATTTATTGAAAAGGTGTTTTTCTCTTTCCCCAAAATCGTTTTTAACAAAGCAAACATGCTTAGAAATACTGCTGGTCTTTTTGGAACAGCAACAAAATAACACACTTTTATATGTACATACATGAGATGCGGTACCTAAAACCACACAGACACTTAGAAAGACCCAGTTTAACCTTTAACCTATGGGGGAATTGTACAAAAAAATCTCTCAACTTGATTATTTTACACCTGATTCAACAACATACTAGTTGTACACTTTGGTTAATTGTTATTGCTTTATAAATTAGTCATTACAATGTTCTTAAACAGTTACTCTGCCTTGTTTCCACATTTAAAAAGTTAGGTATATTTTATGCCAAAGATAAGTGGGCCTATAAATATGCTTTCATATGATTGTCAAAAAACAAAAGTACGTAAACTTAAATCAATTCAGCCCTATGAGCTATAACAGATAGCATGGCACTTTGATACTGAGGCCTAAAACATCAACAAAAATCCACCACAGAGCTTATTATTGCACAGTAACCCAAACATTGCATATATCAGTAAAGGTATCAGAGGGCATTGAAGACAAAGTCCATGCAAAAAAGAAACAGCTAAGCTACAAACACCTAATTTCCAAAAAGTTGATTTACACAGTGAGCGTCACCAATCCTGCAGATGCTTGGAAGAAGTAATCCTTACATAATGGATGTTTCTCCCTCTTTGTTTTTAACTGATTGTCGTTTTGAAGGACATTCAAACATAGAGACATTCACAAATGTGATCAAAAATAATTAAGGAACACCAAAAGGACAGAAAAATATTTAAAAGAAGAGATAAAAGTATGGTCCAATTAACTCGCTCTTGGACTGTGCACTATAAAATTAGTTGATTTTATCGGATAGGTCACTGAAGGCATCACACATATGGCTGAGCATGTGCTTGTTTATTGAATGACGCTGCTGAGCAGTTTCGTCAGCAGGCCTTCCAACACTGCAGGTTAGTGCTTCAGCAGGAGAAACTGGGTTGGACCCATATCGGTTATTAAATATCTGAAGAGCACTGACTCCATACTTATGGGGAATACTTTGGAGTTTATAAGAGCATCTACCAGCTATATGGAAAAACGTCTATTGTAGTTTTATAGTATTTATCATAAGTTATCAGTAGCTGGCCATGTTTAGGACAAATGGAACAAAGCAAAAATGCACCTAATGTACTGCAGAGAGTATGGCTTTTTTCCACTTGCTGCTCAAACCACATGCAACTATTCTACATGCTTACTACATACATGAGCCTCGACAGAGGCTGAGAGGAAGCACTTTGCAGCTTGGTTTGGGCTTTTTCAAAGCCCCTTTTCTGCTGGCATCCAGTGAATCTTCTTTTATCAAATCCATGCTAATGTGCAGGGCTGAAGTTGGCTTCTGATTTAGGAGTCAAGGGAAAATATATTCCTCTTAAGTGGTTATTATAAATTGAAATTGAGGAAAAGCGTTGCCTTTAAGATAAGACCAAGCCTTACCGAACCTCTATTTTTTTATCCCTGAATTTGTGTGAAATTGAAAAAAAGGCTTAATCATAACAATGATTCACAAACCAACTCCAGCCAAACTCAGATTAGTCTCATAAATAAGACAAAACCCTTCAATTGATGGTTGCAACAATAACAACCACAACAACCCCTACACACAATATCCCGATACTAAATCAATCACGCCATTCATTCACAATGTCTCATCAACCAGCAGAAATCTATCAACGTCAATGTCTTTCCAGCTGATGGGAGAGATTTATTGCGCTTTCTGTGAGAACAATGAGAGGAGAAGGAGCTCGGGGATGTGTCACTACAGGAAGGCTGACTGCAGGGGGCGCTGGTAGAGAGACGGTCCTGGGACATCAGGGCAGGAGGAAGCCCCCGGCTTCATGACACCCCGACCAGGAGAGCGGGCGAGCTCACAGAAGCCTCCCGGGTGTTCTCCTGAAACACAAAGACGGATACATTCACAAAGCTTATCGTTATGATATCTCTGCATAAGTTGTTGGGTCAACTTAAATTTCGTCAAATAAACTGTGATACAGCATGTCAGGTACAGATGTGTAAACAAAAGAAAAGCAAATTTTGAGGGAGCGAACATCTGCCGTGCACACAAGTTAGTGATCTTAAGGGAAGATTCTGTAAGTTGAGAATGAGTCTCCTTTTGCTTCTTTTCAGGCTGTGGGAGATAGAAGAACAATCAACTGGCTGTGATCACTGGGTTAAACTGAATTGTAGTCATGCTGGAACAAATGATATCTTGTGTAAAGGATTTATTACTCCATGGCCATAATACGCACCATTGCCCAGCCTGTGTGGCTGTCTTTGTGTAATCGTAAGAGAAGAGCAGCAAGAGAAACCAAAAACAGGCGCACACACACACACACACACACACACATCGCAGGGTGCCCTTAAAGTCCAACTGAGATCTCACAAATCCTCTCAGCTACAGAGAAAAATCAGTTAACATCTTTATTGTGAAAATTAAGGAATTATAGCCTTCAAACCGATACCAGCTGCTGCCTTATTCTTCGGGTAGATGTTTACTTGACAAAATGTTTTATTATTATATTATGTGAAACAAAATTTAACGAGAGACATAAGGAAAAGGCTGATTTGGTTTATTATTTGCTTGGTTTTGTTCTTGACAGCGACTCGTTTTATGTATGAGAGTTTGCCTGTGGAAGAACACATGGTTAAAAGTATTTAATGAAATGGCTTAAGAGCATAAAAATAATAATCTTAATCT